TCCTCGAGAAATCAAATGCTGTAAACCAAATCCAACGAAGGCTTAAGGCTCAAATTCTTTTCAGTCACTTAGGCACTTAAACGATTACACAAAGATGTTGCACCTCAAAGTGGTTACAATGTGAGACGTCCTTACACAAGACCACAACTGCCTGTCCAAATCTTCCTGAGTAATGGGTCCTTCATCTTTAGAAGGTCTCAGCGAAAACGCTGAATTAGCATATTTCTCTTTGATAAAGGATTCTTTAACTGGTATGACGGGATCACTAAATGAGAGGTATCAAAAACAAAAGATCCATATTATTTAAAAACGGAAACCAGAGGAAAAAAATCTTGAAAAAACTGACTGGGGCTGCGGTTTTCGTTTAACTTTTCCAGAATTAAGCGGGTCAAGCAATGTGTGCTCCCATATGCTGTTCGAACCATTTGCGTAAAGAGTATACATCAACTCCAACTGATTTTTGTTCCAATTTCCTTTTTGTAAAGAGCGCAGGTTACTCACATGCCTACCTGAAGTACACAAATTTGCGCTTAAGGCCTGCCTTAACAGCAATTGCAGTTTAAACGAAATAATCATGATTAAAAGTTTATTGCGAAATAATGCGTATGAAGAAAGTTAACCCCTTGATTCAAAGAGCTTTTGAAGCGTGTTTAAGAATACCTAAATTTCTGTGGATATAGCAACATTCTGAACAGATTAAAACGCCCCTGTTTAGAGAAGCCCATACAGGATTATCCGCCGAACAGTCAGCGCACTGAAACTGACGTTCGCTTCCAGGCGAACCTTAAAAGCGGAAAACCCATTAAAAAGTAACAGAAAATAACATCTGATTTACGATATGTTTGACAAACCTTGAAAAGTTTTTGTTTTAATTTTAATTTATAAATTTTTAAATAAATAATGGATAAAACAACCGGTGAAAGCAATTAACATACAAATATAAATGTCCAGAGATTTTATATTTCTTTCTGCAACAAGGAGAGGTTATTATATATTCAACAATGATTACCTGAAGTTTGCAAAGGTGAAGAGATCATTTCATAGGTGGTTATTTTAATAATTAAACCTCTTTCGTTCACAACGCAACAATTTCGTTATGCAATTCGCAACATCTAAAAAATTTAACCTTGTTTGTAAAAAGAGAATACGACTTGTAAAGAGACTAAGAAAAAACCCAGGAAGAATACTTCCAGGCTATAGCAAATAACGTATCAAAAAAATTCAATCTCTCGCAGGGCGCCGTCACAAAACAGTAACGCTAAATTTTAAAACATAGAGAACGGTAACCATGTTTAAACATCCACTGCTCATGTTTAGAACATTGTAATGTCCTTACAACAAAAAATCTAGAAAGAAAAAAGAAAGCAAGTTAAAAACAAGAAGAAAAAAATTTTTACAATGAAGTTTTGCCAAAACAAACAATTCAAATCCCTTTGGCTGTGAAAAGAAAAAACTTGAAATAGTGAGCGTAATCCTCCTACAGAGAAGAAGATGATTTTCTTTGCCCATTCAAAGAAGTTATAACCAATTCAGCAGAAGTAACAGATTAATGGGAAAAAATAGGTTTTGGTTTAGAATAAGATCAATACCGCATAAGAATAAAGCTTAGAAGGCCAGCAGGTAACCCATTCCTGAATATCAAATATTGTAACTGGAATAAAGCAGAAAATTAGTCTGAAAGCAACTCAGCAAACAAATTTGTTACACTGCTGAATGAATATGACCAAGTACTTTTTGGTGCTCAAAATCAATAAAAACACAAAAGGAAACAATTACACAAGTACCAACAGAAAGGAATATATGCAAAACTGCAGACTTCGACCACAGAGGATGACTGCTTCAAGACTGAGACTGTCAGAAATTTACGCGCATAATATATATAGAAAACAGCCAACACTACTGCAAAATTTTTTGCCAATGCCTAACTGATTGGAATTCTGGAAACTGGCCAGCACCGTTTACTTCTCGGCAAAGTACCATCGTTGGTATGTTGATTCTTCTTCTTCATAGGAAGTTGGTTAACGACCAAGACTGGCGTGATAGATTTAGCAGATGATCGTTAGTTGACCTTTTCTAATTTCTCAGAGTTATCCAACCTCGTTCCTGATTAAACTTTCTTTGGGTAGTATTAGGGAAATCTGTATAAATGTGTATAACTAATAGCCACTACAAGGGCTCCGGTTGTGACTAGGAACGCCAGATAGTATATATAGGAAAGATGTTCCAAATAAATGCTGCGAGTTCATGAACATCACCAAAATAAACGCCTTATTTTCGGCGGGTGTTCATGAAAATATTACGTTGGCCTCAAATGTGTACAAATATCTCGCAGATAATCAACCGATAATTTTTGGTGATTATGTGTGGCTCATTTTTTTTTTTTTTTTTTTTTTTTTTTTTTTTT